TCTCTGCTAGCATCATTGCAGTACTCAGAGTTTTAGCTCCTTTTATGTTAAAATCTAGCAACTTTGGTTTTGAATTTGAAAATCTGAGCTCAGCCTTGCTTAAACTCAAACTCATTGCTTGAAAGGTGCTCCGGATGGAGTCCACTGCACTGTGTGTGGCTAGTGAAGACTTGGCTGCTCTGAACTGTAGTCTGCAGACTTCACTATGTCTTTCAAAGTGCAGCCTCTGAGCCTCGTAAGAGTGTGGCTTCCTCCTCACTGACACATAAAGTGTGAAACTTCTAATGACTCGGTCGATATCATAAAGGGGCAGTTTCCCCTCCTGGGAAAGAGCTGCTTCCATGAGGAAGAGCTTGCAGCTGGTGTTAGCATGTGCTGGTCAGCCTCGACAGTGTGAGTGCTGAAGCTGTTCAATTACTTAGGAATAGACTGAAGGAAATCTCTTGAGGTCTCACTCAGAATTTTCAATAATCTCACTTTCATTCAGTTTTTCTACTAAGTTTTCATGGAAGCATTTTAACCTAACATTTGTGGCATAATAATATGATGTTGTTTCTGGTAGAAGCAGAAACTGCTGGGTGGCATTTGATCAAAGCACATTATACACATGTATGAAATTCTTACACAGTGAAAGATGAAAAAACAAAGAACAAAAGGAAATGACTGTCAGTAATTCTTTTGTCTAACTTGAGTTGGTTCTGACGGTCGGTCCTAGGGCTTCATACACACTAGGTAAATACACTGCTGGAAGAGACCTCTAGCTAGGCTGCATACGCACTAGGTAAATACACTGCTGGAAGAGACCTCCAGCTCTCTGCTTTACCTTTTGAGAAAAGGTCTTATATAAGTTGCTCAAGCTGGCCATGAACTTAGGATCCTCCGAATTTTCAAATATCTAAGATTCCAGACATGTGCTACCATGTAATACACTAGTGTACATATAATAAAGGCCCACATGGACAGTGACGTCTGTAGTTATTGCTCTTAGTGCCATGCCCGGCATTCTCAGCATAATGTGCTTTTCACTGGCCTTATTTTAGATCAAGCTAGTGAAGAAAAGAAACGGCTTGAGGAAAAACAAAGAGCAGCCCGCAAAAACAGGTCCAAGTCAGAAGAGGACTGGAAGACAAGGTGCGTGCCTGTTCTGTGTGGCTTTGCCATCTTGTAGGCTGCTGTGTGTGAATGACAGGGATATCAGACACTGAACACAGAGCAAGGGTCCATAGCCCTGCTCATGTGCTCCAGGCCTCAGAGGAGTACAGTCTTCTAAAGTGTTAAAACCAAGAGTTGTGTTTGTGACAAGAGAAACGGCTTGAGGCGTTATGGTTATAATGTTCTTACACAGTCATTACAGGGGAGATTAGTTTAGCAAATTTATCTTTTTTCCTTATCCAACATTCTTTCAATATTGAAAAGGCAAAGTACAATCCAGAGTTAGATTTGAACATGAAAATACACATTTTTTGGTCACATCTATGAGTAAATTACAGGATCATTCATATGTGCATATATAATGCATCATTAATTTAGGTAGTTCCTTTTCTAAACACAAGGGGTTAGACATGATGGAATTAGGGTTTAGAAAAAGCAATATTGTGGACAGTATCAAATATCTGACTTTCGACTGGGCTAAGAGTTGCTGGGTAGTCTCCTGTTTTATTAGAGTCCCTTGTAACTGCTGCTCCATGACTCACTTAAATGTCAAAGCCAACATGGGCATAATTTTGCAAGCATTCCAGTAGACATGATAGTTGTTTTGCATCTTACAAAAGAATCTACAAATGCTTTGACAGCTTCTACCCCAAGTGTTTGGATTTACTCACATAATAGTTTTTGCCAAAGAATGAGTGAAGGATGTGTGGGTGTCAGGCACAGGCCAATGGCTGCTATGGCTGAGTAAAGGGGCAGGAGCTCGGCACTCCTCCCTTCCTTCCTTGTGTGGACCCCAGGTCCCTAAACTCTGAAATACAGTGTGAAAGCTGCTCCAACATGCTGGGCTGCTGTGCATTGCTGTACCTGGAGTGGATGCTACATTTTTTGAGAGACAGGGAAATGATTGAGGCAGCTCACTGGATTAGGACAGCTTAAAATGAAAGCTAGCTCAGGAATCCAAATTGAGACCCCGTGAAGTCTGGACTGGGTTGGTCTCACTGGGTGTATGTAGCATAGCGAAGGAGGGAACCATAACCTTTGCATCTCCCAGCATGTGGAGCTGCTCTGATAGTCAGCTCACCTGTAAAACAGAGGGAGCATATGAACTCCGCAAGCACTGCCCACCCTGCCTGCTGCACATATGTGTTCCCGATGGTGTCACAGAAGGCGGCCTCAAGGGTGATCACAAGTAGGACAACCCACTGCCAACTGCTGTAGACCGTAGCAACCTTTGCCTGAAGATGACCCTTTTGGGATAGTGTGGACATACATTCTCTGACTAGAAACACTGTCACTGCTTGAGGGTCTCTGAGGAAATACATGACACACAGGGCCAACTACTAGAAGTTAAACAACAGTGTTCTGTGGGTTCTGAGTCATTTGCTCTCTGAATTTTATCTATTCTCATTGGACAGGTGGTTCCATCAAGGTCCTAACCCCTACAATGGAGCACAGGACTGGATTTACTCTGGCAACTACTGGGACAGAAACTACTTCAATTTGCCTGATATTTATTAAAGTGCAAAGAAGTCAAGGTGTTTGGCTAATCGACATAAGTCTTAAGCTTAAGTTTTTAAATTTTCCCTTGGTTTCTACTCCTAAATTTTCATTTCATCCCACAAGGTAGGGTGTGGTCACATTGGTGAAGGTCATAAGGAAAGTGAGGCTCTTGGCTTCCTGCCTGCATCCTTGGAGTACTGTTTATGTACACCGAGCAGCTGCTGGAGGTGCTGTGTAGTCTAACATTCAGCTTTATGGGATTCTGTAGTGATCCAAAAATCAAGTTGTCAATATTTTTATGCTATTATGCTTGAGTAGCTTAGGTATAGCTTTGAAATGTTTAACATTCTTCTGTACAATGTTATGTGCTCAAATGTAAAGGTTGTCATTTTATAAAAACTAAGTTGGTAAGATGACCTTTCAGGGAAATGAGTCCTCTCAATTTTACATTGCCACCTCCAAAATGGAGTAGAGGGGTGGGACAGAGTCAGGAATTCCTGACTTGAACATTCTAAACTGGAAAGGTATTTCCTTATCTTAGCACTCTGAATTCCTTCCACACTCTGGGATCACTCTCATTAGAATTACACAGATAAATTTTATGTTTGAACTGAAAATCACAAAAATGCCCTAGAAATAGATTTTAATCAATACCTAATGACAAACCTTCAAGCTTCAACTTCCAGTGGCAGATGCCACAGAGAAATCAAGCTGCACTCATGTATTATAATCTGTGTAAGAGGAGGCCTTGTGCATTTTGAGTTTGCAAGGTACTGGAGACCTACTGTACAGTAGCTTTGCCCCTTTAATTGGGGTAATCTCATAGTATTTATCCAACCAAATCCCAGACTGAGATACTTGCCCTAGAGGGCCTAGGTAGCTTCCAGTAAGTTACTTTAATTGTATTAAAGTTAACAAGTGTTATAATGATGCTAAATAAAAGCTTTAGAATATTTAAAAAAAAGTGTGAATGCTTTCAGAATTTCAGCTGATATTGTAACCTAACACTCAAAAGATGTCTGTCTCTAGGGCCAGAGAGACTGCTGCCTAGCTGATACTGTAAACAGAGGTACAGTGTTTATTATTTGAATTCCAGATATTCTGAGTGGAAAAATTGTACATGTATGAGCTGGACAATGTAGGGTGGTTTGCACATCTAAGTTACTAAAGCAACAATGCAAAGCGTTATGCTTGCAGGAAGTTTATTGATACAGTTCACGTGGTGACAGACTCCACCTTGAATGCTGACTCAAAGAGCATCGTTTCAGCATCTGTTGATGAAGAGACATACATCATGAAATAAATCAAAATATCCTAGCAGTTCCTGCTGAGACCACCATCAGGTTGTCATGATTACATTCATGGCTACACAATTGAAATACCACCTCTCCAACCCCACCCCAAATCACAGTGGCTTAGCTGTTAGGAATCCATAGCTCTCCTTAGCCGCATGCCTGGCAGCACTATACATACATACATTGCATGTCTCCTCCACTCTAGTCCATGTTTTACTCGCCCACTGTCGATACCAAAGGAAGAGGCTCGACATTGAAAAAAAATGTCTAAAAATTTCAGTTAACCACAATTGAATTAAAAAAAAATTGATAAAATTGTCAGAGCTGTTACTTCAGCTTCTGTTAATCTCTTACATGGACATACCATCTCTGTCCCTGTTTCTTAAACATTGATTATCCTCGCTTTAAAGAATCTACCATATACTCAAAGGTGGCTAGGCATTCATTAGCAGCTCTGTAGTTGAAAGCTGAGCACATATGCTTAAGTTTACCCCATCACTCTCAAGTGTTTGAATACCCAGCCCTTAAGTGCTGAAGGCTCAGCTGTGCTAAGGCCCACATGTCAAGGTAGGAAGGGTTACCTACTCTTTTAAGATTCTGCTCTGCGGACATGGGCAGTAGTCACAGTAATTTCGCCAGCAATACCGTAACTTCCAAAGGGAGTACGTTTGTCACCAGATCCTGAACTCTTTTTAGCTACATCTTCTACTGGGAAAGCAACAGAAAGAAAGACTGGGCTTTGCGGTCTGGGGCCATCTTGTCCACTTGTAGGAGGACTAGCATTCTGGGGGTTGGGGGCAGGTCTCTGGAATGTCTGATCTGCAGGAACAGCAATGGGCACTTGCACTGCAGCGTATCTCTTCAAGGCATCTGACTGTGACACCACAGTGTGTCCAGGAAGAGGCTTCCAATCCTGTGTTTCCTGGACATTGGAGCCTACTAAAATAAAAGGTGGGGCACTGGTCTTCTTGCTGTCATCCATCATCACATAGGTTGGAGAAGTGACTTTCGGTGGATTCTGCAGAAACTGTGGATCCTTGGGATTAGGTAAATAGAGGGTTGCTTGGGGAAAAGGCCCAAGTGCAGGTGGCGGTGATGGGCGACTTTGTTGATTCATATCAGTTAGACAATAAAGTGTCCACATATTAGAATATGGTGGTGGTTGTCCTGCTTCGCTTGTTGCTAGTGCTATAAAAAAAAAATTGCAGGCATTAAAGGTTTGGTCTCTGTACCAGGCACTATGCACAGTCATGTCTGTAAATATTTTTTAACATAGAAATAAGCAGCTGTAATAATATGTGCCATAAAGCATGCTATAGAGAGGACTACAGAAATTGTGCCTGGTAATGTGGAGGAACAGCGTGATCCACCACAGTTGGAAAAGGAGCCCAGAGCAACGGCAGGGACAGCAGAGGTGCAGCTCAAGAGGCAATTGTATTCTAAGTTGCTGTTTCCAGACTCTTACACTGTTTTGGTTCTTTGAGACAGTATCATTGTGAGTCCAGGCTGGCCTTGAACTCTCAGTCGTCCTCCTGCCACAGCCTCCCAAGAGCTAGAAGTACCACCGTGCCTAACAAGAATCTTAAGCTTTATATATGGCTTCCACATGGTACTCAGAAGAAAGTTAGCCAAACTTTTTACTTTACCAAAAATAAACATTAACTATGTAAAGCCAATGAGAAGTCATATAAGCACATCTGCATAGCAGTTTCTCTACCTAGTCAGACACTACATGTCAGCTAATATCATCTCTGGTCTTTTGATGGGCACTGTCATCTCCCATCTTCAATCTGTTACCTCATCTAGGAGTCAGATCCCAGAGGGCACTCATCTTAGCCAAGGCTGGGCACCACCATATGCCTCAAAAGACAGCAAAAGACACTCTGATATAGAGAGCTAAAGACGCCGTCCATCAGCTTATCGCAAGGGCTCTATACTGCTGAGTGTGGCTGTGTCAAGTTCCTGCTGTGCGCACTAGGCATCCATTTCACAGAAAATTGCACTGTGCACAGATTCAGTGATGCTTTTCATGACTCAGACACATTCTGTCCTCAAAATTACTAAAAATATAATCCAAATCTTCAGTCTTTCCAGATGAGAGGGTCTAAGACCTCAAACTTGAGTTGTCTTGGTAACTTGTCCACTAAGGACAACTGTCCTTCAGTAACAGCTAAGTGCCTGAAAACAGTGAATCTGCTTGACGTGATGCTCAAGCCACAAAGATAAACCGGCCGCATAGGCTGTGAATGCAGCACTGCCCTCTGCCTTTCCAGCTGTAGCGAATCTGTCACACTGCCAGTCAGAATTTGGTTGCTAAACACCTGCTTTGGTAATAGTCCTATATTATTCTGGTTTGAGTCAGAGTTGAGAATTTCTGCAAGAGGAATGGGAGCTTTTTTCATTCATGTCCCTTCAGATACCCAAGAAAGGCCACTGCAATATCCAGATAGGCAGAAGGGTAGGCAGACCACACGCCATAATTTGATGGAGATGGGGTTATAACGCTTATGTGTCAGGAGGAAAAGCAGCTTGGCTTTGGGGGTCCATGCATGGGAACTGCACACACTGTTTTCAGGTGCGCAGCCACTTTCTGCTGCTTTCCTGTGACACAGACGTTCCATCTAGCCTGTCCTTTCTCCATCTGGCTGTGATGCTGCTCCCTCAGCCACGGAAGGTCCCAAGTAGGAAGCAGTGTCTGAGCCAACATCCCAAACCTGATTGCATAGTTCTCCTGACTCAGTGCGAAAGCAGTCAGCCACACCACCATTTCTTTCATGTTTTAAATGCCACAGCCCAAATAAATGCAGTGCTCAGTATTGCATTTTTATAATTACCCTTTTGTAAACAGGTATTAAAAATCTAACAGAGTCTCATGTCTACAAACATGTGCAAAAAGAATCCAGCTTTGACATGCCGTGTGATTTTCATATTAGTAAATTTTTAAGTACAACAAAGCCTTTAAGTAGGTATGGCATTTAAATAACCTGAAAATGGACTTTGGCCAGTCGGCAGAAGAGCCAACCTGTATGGTTACTGAATACAGATGTTACCTGAAACGCAGTATATGGATGTGCAAGTATCTAATTTTCTTACCTGGCTTCATCAAACCTGTTCAGGTGCATCTTCCCCATCTGGTTGGATTTCAGGTTCAGTAAAGCCTCCTGGCGCAGGAGGGAAAGGGTCACCGGATGAATAGGGTGCGGCGTTCTCCCCTGACTCCTCCTGGCCAGGATTGTCAGGGTCTATGTTAACGATCTCCACTTCAAAGTGCAGAGAATTCTCAGAGGCTATTTTGACAAAGCCCTCTGCATCCAGGGGTTCTGCAGGTACCTCGGGCTGACCCTCTAAAGCAGTGTCAGAGAGCAGAACTGTAGCTTCTGCCTCCATGTGTACTGAGGACTGGTGTTGGGAATTCTCCACCTGGACAATCTGCTGAGACTCTACAGATATCTTAGCCATGCCTGAGGAAGTCTTGGTTTCTACAGGTTTGGGACTAACTGGTGGTGACTGCTCAATTTCTTTAAGACAAGCAACTTGGTCAGTAAACGGGATAATTACGTATCCCGGTATCTGCTCAACATAGACAACTCCTTCATTGACAGGCACACCGTTATATACAGATGATACATGAACGGCTGATGTAACCTGAGTGTCAGGAGCTTCATCGTAAGCAGGAGGTTCTTGTTCACCCTGCAAGGGGGCTGAGGAAGCCTTTGGTGGTTCAGCCTCAGAATTAGGACCCACAACTGCCTGAGCAGATGTTTGGCTCATAACCTGCACTGCTAACATCTCTCCAGAGCACACCAGAGGAGCAGACACCACGACTTCTTCATCACACTCTGCACTCAGTGAGTCCAGGGTACTTGTTGCCACGTCCACCATTAAAACTTCAGAATATGTGCATGGAACATTACCTAACATCTGGGCAGCAAACTGAGCTGGGTCGGCCGGCACATAGGCATACTCTGCAGAGACGGGTGCTGGAGGTGGTGAGGATGGTGGGGTGGTAGCCTTCGGTGTGGCTGGTTTGGAAGAAGGACCACAAACTCCTTCACTTGTCTCCTCAGGCTGGAGTTCAGCATGAACTGATGGAAACTGAGTGGTTTTGTTACTAAACAGTGGTCCAGCTACATTGTCCTCCTCTGTGTCTGTGGATTTTTCCATTCGTGTAGGTTCGCAGGAAACTGGAGGTGTTCTTCCCGGTTCTTTTACACATTCTTTCTTCTCCAGTGTCACTCCTTCTGCCCATTTCTCCACTAAAAAGTAACAGGTGAGTTAGTCAGCAAGCACTCCTCAAAATATTTTAAATAAAGCAACAGTAGGTTGAACTTTCAAATACCAATATACACAGGTCTGTGCAACATCTGCATTAACATAGCTAGTGGACCTGTAACAGCTCACATCCCCTAAACAATCCATTTCCTCAGAAATAAATGACCAGCATATATCACACTGTAAAGCTAGTATTATACTACTCTAAGCTGGTATTCAGTTCCTAAAAGGAAGGAAACTAGAACCCTCCTGGTCTGTTGTCCCACCAAAAGGGGGGGAGGGTGACACTGAGGAGATGGGCCCAGCAGATAAAGTGAGACTTGGCCTGGCCATATGAGAACTGGGCAGGATGACTGGAATGTCACCTGAAATCCCAGTACTTGTGAGGCAGGGAGGCACAGGCAATCCTGAGAGTGTGCTAGCAAACTGGAGTTGGCAAGCTCGGGGTTCAGTGAATGACCCTGCCTCAGTAAATAGTAGCATGTGACCAGTGTCAATTTTGCAACTCTACATGCACCCACATCCACACATTGCAAACATGCGCATAGAAGAACACAAAATGCAAGCAAAGGAAACACTACAGACAGATGTGGGAAGCAAATTATTCCACAGTTTCAGTTGGGCTCATAACTTAGAGAGGGAACAAACAGATGCATTCCTCCATTTAGGAAAACTGGTATGCAAAGTATGCAATGAACTTGTCATCTGAGCACTGTGGTCTTCACATTAGGAAACACGATATATTTGCAGGTGACCTGTGGTCATGAAGCCATGGCCATACTGACCCAGATGAAAAGAGAAACTCGGCTCAGCAGCTTCCTGCTTTTCAGCATCCCAAGTTCTGTTCCCAGCACCCAGAAGCAAAACTGCCTGTAACTCTAGCTCTTGCAGATCCAACCTTTGGGCACCTGCATTCACATGTGCATGCGCGCACACACACAGTTTTGAGTGATAATAAATTTTAAAAAATCTTCAGAGTTCACAAGTTCTGAGCCTAACTTGAATAAGCCTAACTTGATAGTTACTCTTGTACTTAGGATGCAGATATAAAGCATTACTACTCCATCTTAACAAGAAGATCAATCATAAAATCATAACTTGGCTTGAGTTCAGACAGTTGAGGTCATAGTAATTACCTGATTTATTAAAGAACAATCTCCTTTCACCCCAGAGGTGTACCAGAGCTGACTCAGCCATGGCAGGGGCCAGAAAGAAAAGGCCACCATTCTCTAGTGAGAAGGTAACAGCTACATAGTAACTACTAAATATGGCCCAGGAGGCCAGACTTGTGCCTCCAAACTCAGGAGTCTGTTACGACTGACAAGTATTTTTCTGCAGGCCTCAGAAGAATGATGGAGATGGGATAGCATGCCACAAAAGGAACCTATCCTAATACCAAACAGTGGTCACTTGGCCCAAGACAAATACCATGATGGCCATGGATACGGCCATGCCATTCTGAAGACACTAAACTCTGGAAAACTGGAAGGTGAGAGTGGCGAGCTTGGCTCTCATGTCTAGTTCACTCCTTCCGTTACCAGCTGTGCATGGCAAAAAACCTCTTCTGGTTCTCAACGCCTACCAAAAATAGTTTCTAGGAAAAATCCCAGAAAGAAATTTCAACAGGTAAATGACACACGCAGCAAACGTTCCTCTCTGCACACTCTCCACACGTACTGGGAACACAGGAATGCTGCTGGGCAGACAAACTACCACTGGGAAGAACTGGAGAACAGACATCTTCACTGACCAGCCTTCATGAAACACATGCTCCCATCTGACAGGAGTGAGGTAGGTGAACTAGGGAATCTCAGCAGCTAACTCTTGGACACATACCAACGTCTAATGCCTGCTGCTGTCTTTAGTTGACATTGCCTCACACTGGAGAGACTGAAAGAGCAGAATAAGGGTCAGTTGACGTAAGTCTTCCTAGAGAGGTTCATTTTCACAGTCACTGAAAGCCTGAGATGGCCTGTCTTTGAGATTAACCAGCAATGTACGTAGGATCATTTTAGGTGCCACCTCCACATTAAACCTAGGATTCACACAAGGCAAGCTGTACTTGGATGAATGACACATGGCTATATTTATTTGTAGCTGTCATAAGAACAGCAGAGAATTAAACCAGTCAGCAGACAGGAAGCTGTCATTCAGGAGAGGAAATCTAATGCATGTCTGTCTATAGGAGGACCCAGATTGACGGATGCAGTCTGTCTAGTAAGAAGCCATTTGTGGTGACAAGGGGAAATGAGCCAAGGTGATACCGGACAACTATTCTGGTCATACTTTCATATTGCCTCATGATGTCTCTAGTCAGCAGGACGAGCAATGTTACCACTGTCTTACTTCCTAAAAGGCAGTCTGTTTTTATAAGCATGCTGTGAGCTTCCTTTCAGTTTATTGGTATGCTGTGCCTATTTGTTGACATCTGTAGTGATTTGAAGAGATAACAGCTGTATCTCCTTAATTCCATCAAAATTTGGCCTACAAATTTTGTTACTCTATTACTGCACATTAATTTTAAAAATTGAGATGCAAAAACATTAACTTACATGTTATTAATCAAAATCCACATGCTAAAATGAATGGTGGATAAAATCTTCAAAAACTAAATCTCAAAATGCTGTCAGGTAGTGTCTTCCGCCATTATGAAACAGGGTAAGCCTGCACACTCAGTGTTTTCTAATGTAGCTCTCGCTTTGAACACAGAAACACAAACGCCTTGACTGAGAAGCTAGGATCGTGGATATAGAAAGCAATGTTCTTGCGCTTGGTTTGTATACACGGCAAAGATTATATAAGCAAATCCCACAGCTTACAGCTTCTCATGGTTAGTTAATGTCATCAGGTGCTTGCAAGAAATCAGGTAGACTAGATAATACAATATTCCGGAAATATTGTATACCTCATCATTCTCTGCCCCTTCAAATGCCTATGTTTCCTATTTTTAATCTTGATTTCCTGTTTTGGGTATATTTCACAAAAATGACATGGTTTGGAGCATTGAAGCAAAGGTCCTACCAAGCCTAATGACCTGAGTTTGGTCCCCGGGACTCAATGAACAAAGAATACTGACTCGCAAAAGTTGTCCGCTGAGCTACACATGTGTGCATAGCATGCACATGCACATAACACACACAAACATAAGAAAATGGAAAAGAACCTGGCTCAGCGATTAAGAGCGCTCACTGCTCTTGCCGAGGACCGGGGTTGAGTTCCCAGCACCTGCATGGTGTCTTAGAGCTAACTGCCAGTTCCAGGGGATCCAGCACCCTCTTGTGGATTCTGCAGAAGGTGGCATCTGTATGTATGTATGTATGTATGTATGTATGTATGTATGTATGTATGCATCACTACAAGTATGCAGGAAAACACTCATCCACATAAATCTAAAAAAATATGATTTTTTAAAACAACAGTTTAAGGGTGGCTGTAACTACTCTCCAGTCATCCAAAAGCTATATGGTAAGAACTAAGCTGCTCCTTCCCACGGGGCCAGGGACCATTACCTCTTCACAAAATCCTCTGAGAAGCTTTTCCTCGCCATTCTTTTAGATGCGTCCTTTACCAAATTTCATCTTTTTAAACTACCTAAATGTTTCATTTGTATAGATTTTGCCTTTTCCTACAACTCTTCTGTTGCTACTTGGTCATCTCTGTTTCATGCTGTGACATTCACTTTATAAAGAAAGGAAAAACAACTTTCTCGAAGCATATGTGTGCTGCTATGTCACGGTGCCCGAGACATGGAGAGCATTGCTGCTTCATAAAACATCTACTCAGACACTCTCTTAGCAGGGCGTATGGCAGCGATGGTTGATCTTCTAGACTGGACTTACACGTAAGAGTATGTCTTATTTTCTTTGGAACAGCCGGTTTTCTCCTAACCTTCATGTTTAAGCCTACACTGAAACCCAGCTCTACTTCATTAATATTATATATGTCTTGAGTATTCATTATCAGAAATGCCTGGGAGCTGATATATCAGATTTTGAGGGTTTTAAAAACTATTTTAGAAGATTTGCATAGCCTATTAGTAGAGAATCCCTAATCTGAAACCCAGGAATGTGAAATACTCTAAACCAGAGGCTTAAATCGTTGTGTTCGCTTTCATTTTGGATTTTGGAGCATGTCTAATAATTGATAGTCACCCGCACAGCTTTACAGAACACCCCATTACATTACCATGAAGTACAAGTTCTCTTAATGTCCGCTGTACTTCCCTAAAAGTGTGCAGGCAGAGCACATGTGAATCGTAGTCATCTGCACTGTTCTAGACACCATAATCTTGTGCTCCAGGACGGACCCCGAGGCCTCGCATGTGCTTTGTGAGAGCTCTACTACCAACCTGGATTTCAGCCCCGAGTACTCCTCCCACAACACACCTATTTTAAGACATAAAACCTTCTAAACTGGAAATCCTGATGTTAAAATAAGCCAGACACGACTTAGTAAAAATACAAAGCACCAGGATGATTACTCAGACATAAAACTCTGGTGTGGTTGACGAAGAACCCATTGGCATAAGTACGAACGTGTGTTAGCAAGTGTGCAATGGCAGCATTGCTGAAACATCGCTGTGGCACTTACCTTTCATCTGATGAAACTGTTTAATCAGATCTTTTATATCCAAAGATGAATTCCCTGAATGAATAAATGCAGGAAGTCAAATAGAGACATTTTTCAATTTAAAACGGCTTTGCAAAGCAACAAATACAGAAGCTAAAGCAATACAAACCTTCTCTAAACACAATGAGTTCTTTAAAATAAACTGCTGCAAACTGGGTGATGTTTGTCGGGTTGGTTTTGAGAATGGCCCTGCTGACTCCCTCAAGCAGAGTCTTGAGGCCATAGGGTACAACAAGTCTGGGCTTTGAAGAAATCATTTTGGCAGGATGTCTGTAATTTCAACTATAAGGAAAAGAAACAAAATCTTACACTGTACATTACATTTATTGAATTTTCTTATGATTTAGTTGGGGTTCCTAAAACCAAATCTATTAAAATTATTAGCTTTACTTCTCACCTGTTAAGTATTTATTCTGGTAGCATGGGACGCAATTCTTGGTAATTATTTACAAAATAAAACCCACTACCACCAGCTTACTATGCACAAGCAAGCGATATAGCACTCATTAAGAGACTGGTAAGTGGGCCATGGAGTTGGCTCATCAAATGAAAGTGCTTTCCAACAGACCTGAGGACTTGAGCTTAATCCCTGGATCCCACAAGCGGCAGGAGAGAATAAATGCTAGCTAGAGAGATTGGTCCTTTGACCTCCACAAGTGGCATGCATGCACACGCACACATGCATACACAAAGACTCTCTCTCTGTCTCTCTCTTGGAAATGCCCTGTTAAGATTAACAGAATGATACAGTTTATGTCCAAATAAGACACATAAAATCCAACTAATATCTCAACAAAGATAAATTAAGCACACGTATTTCCAAATAATGCCCATATATAGGCACTAATTTTGTACAGGGTTGCAAAACTATTTCTACAAGAAAATTACATTTTTCTAATATATTCCTAGACATATTTTCTACATTCTACTACACAAGTTTTGCTTTCTCTTTGGTATTGGGATTTGAACCCAGGGCTTTCCATAATACCAGGCAAGCACTCGCCCACTGAGTTATTTTTTAATGTTAGGTGTATCTGTGGGGCTATGCCATACCCATTAATATAGAGTTCTTTCCTTAATCAAATTACCACCCCCCCTTCAGATTCAGCTGACCAAGAACTCTCTCTGTAGACTAGCCTGGCCTCAAACTCAGAGATCTACTTACCATTACCTCCTGAGTGTTTGGGCCACCACATCCATTCCCTTGATGACTGTCAAGTGGTACCTTGGGTGTTATATAAGCTACTAGGGGTTGTCCCAGTTTTTGACATTGGGTTGTTATATACAAACATGCTGGGTTACACTCATAGCTATCCTAAGACAGGCTGCAAGTTGGACACATCTAGACCTATAATTCTCATGGGTTTAGAGTGTGTCAGCCCTAAACTGTGTGTTCACTCTGAAACATGGAACCTTGCAAATAAGTTTTTAAAACTGAATTTTTTTTAGCAAGGGAAAAAAAATCACAGTGCTGCCAGCTGGCCTTTTGCTTTCCTAAATATGGATATTTAATTGGGTCCTGAGCTACCAAGGAGCCACCAGATAGGAAAGAGGAGCTAACATGATTCAGACTTTGAGGTTTGTTTTTTAAAAAAATCAGTTGCTTTGGGGGAAATCACAGCTGCTCTAGACAGAAGTACCTTAAGAATGCTTCCCATGGGTACTGATAAAGAGCAGACTACTTTGACAATGAATCATACCCTAACACCCTTAATGTTTCACGGACTAAATGGCATGGTTTAGTTGTTGCAATATATCAAGGGCCAACTTTTAATAAAAACACAATATGCCACAGCAAAATGTTTTTATTTAGAAGCACCTTTCACATTCTTACCAAAACAAGTTTTGACCCAAGCAAAACTTTTGAGACTACAATTAAATGTTTGTTCATCAGGTGCATTACCGAAATTAAATGTTTGGTCCCTTACTCATCAGGTGCGTTACCGAATAAAGCCGTCTTTTGGGGCAAATGCAGCTTTACCATGCTAAACGGCAGTGATCTGCAACACATAGCATACACACATAAATATACATATGTATATATGCTTTTGGTTTCGTTTTCAAATAAACATCCCAGGTCAGTTTCCAAAGTGAGTGGCAGGTGGGCAAAATGGAGCAGCAGATACAGCACCCATCCTTAGTGGTTAGTACTACCAACCGTGCGGCAGCAGTGAGATGGTGCTAGCTAGTACCAGGTCTCGGTTTAGGAACACTTGAAAGCCAGGGGTGTGACTGTCCCTAGGAACGTTCTTGACTAGGAAAAGGCGGGGCAGCAGCGATGTGGCATCAGACCTCTCACCAACCCAGCTGACGGAGGGCTGTTCAAAAGTGAGAACGTAGTTGCTCTTCATTTTTCAGAAGCCCTTGCCAGGAAGGACCTTTCTAGAAAGGCTCATCCTCTGGACTGTGACCCTCTTGACACTACAGGGGTGGGCTACGGCGGCCCTTTGTCCGCGGATTTCGGGGCCATCGAAGGCGCACTCCGCGCCACACGCGGCCGAAGCCGCGGGATTCCCGCCCGACCACCGTCTCCCCCTCCGCGCGGCCTCCCGCCGCTCTCGGCCCGCTGCCTTCCGGGCTCAGCCGGCGCCGGTGCGCCAGGCTAGGCCCACCTTCTCTCCGGCTTCAATAAAGCTTCCTCTTGGCCCCCTTGCCGGCGGCTCCTGTGCTAGAGCGCGCGGCCCGCCCACTATTTATACCCCTACGTGCGTCATGTGTGCGTCACAGAGATCCGCCCCCTTGTTGGGGCCCACCGGAAGAGGCAAGGCTTCGACCGACCCAGCCAATGAGAAACAAAGGCCGGGGATTGGAGTGAGCCGGAGAAGTCCCTCCTGCGGCTTTAAGTGGCACGCTAACCACAGGGCTGTGGCTCCTTGTTTGATCACTGGACGAGTGGCTGAGAATGTAGCTCATTTGCCGGAGGCCCTGGACTCAGTCCCCAGCACCTCAGAAGACAGGGCCCGCAGGTGCTCGCCTGTAATCCCAGCTCCAGGAGGTCGAGGCAGGAGGTCATGAAGATTTCGAGTCAGCCTGTGATACATGGGATCCGGTCTCAAACAAGAACAGCAAATATTTATGTATAGGGAAGAGAAACTGCACGTGTAGCTGGCTGTATTGACGTTGCTGCCTCCGTTCCCCGCAACTCCTTTATATTAACCTTTTTGAGATCTTCGCAAAGAGTAAGATCTGCCACGCAATACAGTGACGGTGAAGAGGGCATTACTAGGCACGGCATAGACTTTTCCTCTTGGGAAGCTTGCCTGGAGAGAGTGGTAGCAATCCTGACATTTCTTTTTTACTCCTTAATTAGGCTCAAGCCGCATCGCACACCCAAGCCAACCAGGACAGGGACCAGCCTTCCAGGGTCTTACTAACTGCACTGCACTCGTAGGTATTCTCTCACACATGGGTCCAAGGGGGCTGCATCTGCTCAAGACCAGCTTTTCTTCCATCCTCCTGTTCCCATTGTCCTTCTGGATTTCTGCATCTTCCAACCAGCTCCTGCAGCATTTTCCTGCAGTGATCTAAATCCAGTTTTTCCTTTATGGACTGGAGCTCCCTTGAAGGAAGGCTGTTGATTCTGCAGACCCACTGATTAGCACTTCAGTGCTGTGGAGGATAGTAGTACCGGTCAAAGACTGAGTCTATCTTGGGCTATCTTTAGTCCCCTTGCTAGCTCTTTGTTGCCCGCCTCTATGATTTAACATCCTTTGGGGTGTAGGGTAAAACCTCCTGGAATGTATTAAAAGAGCCCAGGAGTTTGCACCAACACAGATGCTAAGCTGGCAAGGAGACTCCACCACTGTGCAGTAAGCTACTTACCTGATATCGCCACCAGAGCATCAGGCACAGGCACTGACTTGAAACTGGGCTTTGTTCTGTGACTTCTGTGGTGGTTTATGTCATTCCGTGTAATCTGGATTAATGTTTCTGGGCGTGGCCACTCATGTTTGGTTCAGAATAAACCTTCCTACTGTCTTTATGGCAAGAGCTTTTTGCTGTAAATTCTACCCAAACAAGCAAGACCATACCACACAATGGCACAAATGTGTCTTCATAGATGTAAGGGCAAATTTGAATGCTTGTCACTACTATGATTTGCTTAAAGAAATCAACTACAAAAGTTTACACAGCAAAGTATGTGTGTGTGTTAAAACTTAGACTTCGCCATTTAATTTTAGTTGGCAGAAATAGAAAAAGTGCAAAATCAGTAATTGGTTTATAAATTCTGTAATAATAAGTATTCTACTCTTCTGTGACAGCTGAAAGTTATAATTCTTTACTCAAAAAAGTTATGTACCATGCATTAAAATAAAGATACCTAACTCTATAAAAATAAAAATCTTAACTACACCTTCCAGAAAAGTACATACTACATTGTCATCACCAGACCATGCCTCCAAGTCTGCAGATTACAAAAATGTACTCAGCATAAGTAAAACAGTCATTCTCTCATCAAAGGTACAATTTAATACAAAATATGACATTTACACACTGGAGTGTCCAATGGAGAGCCTATGGCATAGGACAGTTTGAAATTGGCAATCTCAATAGCAGAAATATAAACAATTTTAATCTAAATATAATTTATTTAATTTGAAACTATGGGACTTTATGTATCCTTTGAATATAGAATAACAGCTTTAAAAAGTTTTGAACTAAACATTCAAAGAAGACAAACTAAAGCAAAACTTCATGACTCAGAAGGTTCTGTGATCCTGACAGAACCATCTTCCACACACTATAGGCAAGAGAATTCTTGGTAACTGCCATAATTTTAAAATGTATGATAGTCTTCTCTCTAGTTACCAGGTTCCAGTATTTGAGACCATCAGTTTCTCTTCAGACCTGCTCCCTGCTCTGAGCTTCTTGGATGCACTCAACTACCGAATGCAGGGTTGTCATCTTCCTGGCTTACACCTTCACTCCACACAAGGCCCACATCAGGATGTCAAAATGAACAGTTTAGCAATAGTCTAATGACAAGGGGCTGACGTGGGGCTAAGGGACAGATGATGGTACAGAAGCATCAGCGAGGAAGGACTTCGATCAAAGACACTGCTTCCTCAAATAAGACTGAAAGGTGTTTGCAGTGTTGTGGGGCCAAAGCCTCTGCACACCAAGTGGTCTACCACTAAAGGACACCCCACCACTAAAGGACACCCCACCATTCAGTGCCATATTAGGAACCCCCATCCTTCCAAGTCAGATTAAGTAAAATAAAATCTGACAGTATTTTTGCTGATATGTTTCTGTTTTGCTTCCTAAGTATTAAAATACTGATATCAGGGGGCTGGAGAGATTGCTCAGCGGTTAAGAGCATTGTCTGCTCTTCCAAAGGTTCTGAGTTCAATTCCCAGCAACCACATGGTGGCTCACAACCATCTGTCATGAGATCTGGTGCCCTCTTCTGGACTGCAGACATACACACAGACAGAATATTGTATACATAATAAATAAATAAATAAATATTTAAAAAAATAAAATACTGATATCACAAGCTGGGTATGGTGGCGTCCCACACCTTTAATCCCAGCACTGGGGAGGCAGAAATAGGCGGATCTCTGTGAATTTGAGGCCAGCCTGGTCTACAAAGCAAGTTCCAGGACATCTACAGAGTGAGTTCCAGGACAGTCAGGCTACAAAGAGAAACCTTGTCTTGAAAAACAAACGAAAAATCGATACCAGACAAACTTGTGATTCAGACAGGAGGATATGTAAAAACTTTAAAGTGAAAACCTTGAGTTCAATGAAAATTTAGAAACCTTAAGACAACTGAGTTGAACTACTGCAAAGATTCTTAAAAGGGACAGGTGTTTATTCAAAACCACAGCTGTGCTGGGCACAGAGGAAAGCTCAGCAGTGAAGGGTTAAACATACTTGAGAGTTCGTTTCATCATACCCAACAATCTGAGGTAGGAGGGGAGTGATGAACCCTGCAACATTCAACCCTGCAGCTGCATCACCAGCAAATATCCTCACATACAAACCTGCACGCATGCTACAATAGCCTTTGTGAGATACACGCTAAAGCCATCTTCTCCACCTTCCTAAGGCTGCAATCCTTTAATACCCTCCTCATGCTGTGGTGACCTCAACCATAAAATGATTTTGTGGCTGTTTCATAACTGTAATCTTGCTGCTGTTAGGAATCAGAATGGAAACATCCCATATGCAGCGTTGTTCGAACCTCCATAGGGGATAATCTTCACAGCAGAACTCCTGAAATGTAGGTTTTCCTTAGTCAACTATAGATTTGCTTTTCTGATAGGCTCAGCAACGGGGGCATGCTCCTGACTGTGAATGCAAGTTTCTCTCTGCTCTTGTTTTGCTGCCTCCGTCAAGAGAACTTGTGTCGACAATCTAGGGATGAACGTGTAGGGTGTGCATATGTTTTTGTGTATGCAGAGGCCACCTCTGTTTCATGAGGCAAAGTCTCTCACTGAACCTGGAGCTTACTGTTTCGGCAAGACTACTTTGCCAGTGAGGAGCTCAAGGGATCCCCCTGCCTCTGCTCCCCAAGCACTAAGATTACATCTGTGCTGAGGCATGCCTAGCTTTTATTGTTTTCATGTGGGTACTGGCAGCAGGAACTCGGGTCCTATGCTCGTGTGGGAAGCGCTTTATGATGGAGCCACCCCCCAGCTCTGGGGATGTAGACAGGAGCCACCTTCCAGCTCTGGGGATGCAGACCTATGAAGCAGCTTGAGCTGCAGAGAGTTTTATCTTTGCTAAGTTAAGCATGGGGTTCCGGGTTTACACGTTTTATATAAAATAGTATCCAGTTCCTGGTCCCGAGGCCTGCGTTCTAGCCACTGCCCCATGAAGTATGAGTGACTGACTGCAGTGAGTTGGCTCCCACTGCTGAACCTGAGTCTCGCTGCACATAAAACAGGAGTAAGAATTCTTTTCAGAGATGCCACCTGCCTCTGCCTCCTATGTGCTGGGATTAGGTGTGTGCCACCAGGCCCAGCCAAGAATGGTTGTGCCAGAGCTGTCGTAGGAATATTTCCAGGATAACGTAAACCACTAGGAAAATGCTTTCATTTTTATCTAAGCACGAGAGACATGCTATATGTGGTACGGTGCATGCTGAGCCCACTCTGATGACACGTAATGTAGGCACGCCTACAAAAACCACAGGTGAATCTTCAGTTTGATTTTATTTTAAAAATAATAAATCACAAAACTAAAATGTTTGAACAAGGTCACTTAACCCTCTCCCAGGTCGGTTATTTTTTATCATTTTCGACATCTTTATTACTCCGAAGCTACATGTTTAAAAGAGGGATCTTTGACGTCAGCGACACAGAACCCACCCCTGGTACAGGTGGTCTGCAGGAGAGAAGCTCATCTTCAAAGGCCTTTCTCCTCTGCGTTCAAAGTGCTGACCCTGGGTGGAGGGGACAGAGGGGTCACTCGCAGTTTCTCACTGAGGGACCAGTTCCTTCAGAGAGGCCAGAGCAGCGTGGATGCGGACGTGCAATCTGTTTTCAAAATCGTAGCCAGAAAAATCCTCCTGGAAGGGCCAAATAAAAGATGATTGTGGACAGTTAGGCAGGCTTGTCCACAGGGGGTCACAGGGTAGCACACACTGCAGTTTACACCCCATATAGCAATACCCTACTTCCTATGGGAGACTTCTCGCCCA